AACAGCAGTTTGAAAACACCCACACATTCATCAACACAGAACAGGTTGACTAAATATGATATATCTACTATGTACACAGGGCAGAAGGTTAAAAACAGAGTTATCTCTCATTCACTCAAGCAATTAAATCTATAAAATAACATATATAATAGGATCTCGTAAAAAAATCAAAAACATTTATACATTTATATACACACATTTGTTTATAGAAATAATATATATCAGTAAATAAACTTAAGATTTGCAACCAGGATGCGGGGCCATAGAGGCAATTATTTACTTTTTATCACCCATCTTGGTACTGTGTGTTTGACAGTGGTGAACATCCCAATGCTTATTTTCTTCATTCATGAATCAGAGATGATAATGAGTATCTTACAGAATTGTTACTAGAATCAAATGAAATAATTCATATGCATTGCCTGGCACTTGGCAGGAGCTTAATATATCACATTATAATTATCTTTTGATTTCATAGCAACAGCTTTCTTTTGTCCACCTAGTGTTTTATATAAAACAGTTCTGTCTTTAAAAAATACTGTGCTCAATATCCTCAGATCCAAAATATACAGAATAGTAAAAGCTACCATATTATGTGAAATTAACAGTCAAAAACTAAAGGGGTTACCTTGCTAATACTTTAAATGAATCTAAAGAAAGCTAATTAAAATTAAGTAAAAGTACCTACAGAACACTGTGTGGCTATGGCAAATTCCTTAACTTCTCTAACTATAAACGATCTCCTTTGTAAGAAGATAATGATAAGGTCTGCTCTACCTTCCTCCCAAGGTGAAAGTGAAAGACAGTGTTTCTGGAAATGCTTTGTAGCTGAAAGTACTATACAGATGAAGAATTGTTTGAAAGCTAGGATTGTGCCCATTCAGAAGCATGACATTCACGATTAAGAATCAAATATACAAAGCCAAATATACAAAAATACTAAAAAGTAATTTGGTATCTCAAAAAAATACTCACAGTGACTTTGAAAGCCCAAGAATTTTTTTCATGTATTACTTTTTTTTTAAAATTAAGGTATCATTGACATACAATTTTACGAAGGTTTCACATAAGCAACATTGTGGTTACTACATTCCCCCCTATTATCAAGTCCCCATGACATACCCCATTACAATCACCATCCATTAGCATAGTAAGATGCTATAGAGTCACTCCTTGTCTTTCGGTTCTATACCACCTTCCCTGTGCACCCCCTATGTGTGCTAATCATAATACCCCTTAATCCCCTTCTCCCTCCTTTCCCACCTGCCCTCTCCACCCCCTTTCCCTTTGGTAACCACTAGTCCCTTCTTGGGTCCTGTGAGTCTGCTGCTGTTTTGTTCCTTCAGTTTTTGCTTTGTTGTTATACTGCACAGATGAGTGAATCATTTGGTACTTGTCTTTCTCCGCCTGGCAAAGTCCAAGAACTTTTAAAGGAAGCTGTGGTATTATGGACCATGAGAAATGCATTCCTATATTGTTGACAGTACTATAAGTCACTTAATGTGGCTGGGGTGGTTTCTTTTTAAGAATTATTATCACAATACCTATTTCTCCTGGTATTGTGAGGGTCAAATAGACAGTCTACATTATTGTTTCTCAGCTGTCTCAGATCTAATAACCCCTTTTTATAACAAATATTTTGAAACATATCATTCCCTACATTGAAATGAACTCTTAAGACCACTGTCACCTGGTAGCCAGGCACCTCTTCTTCCTTTCAGCATCCCCTTTTAGAATACTCTTCCCAAACTAGCCAGTTAGAAGCTGTATTCCTGTACTTACATTTGCCCCTGGGTATATTACCACGTTTTGCCAGTGGGATGTGAGAGAAGTGACATGTGTGACTTCAAGTTTATGTGTTCCTATTCAGCAAACTGTTTGCACTACTTTTCCACATTACTTCTTTCCACAGGCAAGAATATGGATGTGACAGTGCAATTAACTTTTGACCATACAGATGAGGACCACACTGTAGAGAATGGCATAACAATTAGAAGGAATTTGGGTGATATTATGGCACAAGGCCTCCTCCCAACCTGGATCACTGGTCCACCGTTGGTCAGGCATATCGTAAAGAGATAAACTCCTATCTTGTATGACTGGCTCAGTGTAATTGGGAGTCTCCTTGTTACAGCATTATAGCCTGTACCCTAATTAACATATCTGGCTACATAAATAATTTTTAAAAAAAACCCTGTAATATAAGAAAGAAATAAAAGAAAATATATTTATAATAAAATAAAATGCTTGTTTCTATGTGATATGTTGGGAACAACTATATGTGAAGACGTAATTAATAAGGTGAATGTTAGTCAACCTTACCATGAGTAAGTCTGGACATACACTAATGGTCAAAGTCACTCTGTACAGGATCTATAGGAAAATGTGCCAGGAGAAGTAGTTGTGGACACAAGATTAGAATGTACTTTTAGGTTAAGTAGTAACAGATCAAACATTTGTATGAGAAAAATAAACTGATCTTAATTGAAATAGAGATAATACTCTAAAATAAACTCAAATTGCCCAAGCATAGAAAATAAGTTTGACAGTCTCCCAAATGATACTGGAAATTGGAAAAATAATTTCTAATGGGAAAAATAATTCTCAATGCTATGACATCGGATAACCTAGTAACAAAATATCACAGAAAATGCATTTCCTTTCTTGAAAACCTGTAATATATCAAGGCACACATCAAAGTCTCTAGTACTTGAAAATAACTTTTAATAGGTGAGGAAGAATATATTGATAAATTGGAAAAAGAAGCAAATATAAGACATAATAGAGAATTTTAAGGTAGACTTTTGGGGACAGTATCCTAGGAAGACTGGAAAACATAGGCTATCTAAAAATAATTTAAATATGTAATATTTGTAACATAGATTTCTTATCACTACTCTAAAATACTCACAAATTTATAAAGGATAGCAATACTATGAAATATTTCCATATGTTTATTTTTTAAAAATTTAATGAAATCAAAACACTTCATGTACCTGTTAATTTAGTAATATTTGATTTTAAGATGGTTAAAAGCATTTCAGATTTCTTGTTACATATTTGTAAATGTTTTCCATAGTTTCTTGGTAATTGCAGTCTACCTTTACAGCTAAATATATATTGTTGAAAATGTTACAATTATCTTGAGAAAAAAGTAAATTATTCATTAATTTTGAGACGTGTGTTTATTCCATTTCAGTGTTCCTTTCCATAATAAACTTTTAAATCCTTTGTTTTTTTTGTCTAACATGTTATATATTAGTATTGTTTTGCATTGAATCATTACACAATTATACTTGGAGTTTGTTGAGTCTAGCAGTGCATCCAAACCCATGCCAAATGTCAGGCAGTTCTTGTTACCCAGTTCTGTTCCATCAACGGCAAGATACCTAGTATCTTTAACCTTTGCCCAATAAAATGTCTTGTCTTCTCCCAATATTATTATAACCCAAAACATTTCCATAAATTCCTAAAATATCCCACTGGGCAGTATCTCTCAACCTACCTGTGATAAAGGACTAGTTTTTTGCCCTAATCTAAGATCTAGACTTTCTTACCAAAAAAAAAAAAAAAAAAAGTGTTACTAGGAAAAAATGAAATAAAAAACAAAGACATAGAAAATACATGCTCTATTTTATCATTACATTCAACAGACAAAAGTTACACTGTCAAATTCCTATACAAGTTTCTAAGTAATTACTCTCATGTTTTGCTCTTATCTCATTGCACACCAATAATAAACAGTTGAGAGACCAGCTCTGGTCCATGGACCACACTTTGAATAAGCACCATCCTGGAGACAGTACCACCTTAATTGAGAATCACTGGTAAAAATAAAGCAATATACAGAAATGTTAGCTATTATTGTCTTTATCATTTTTTAATCTAAATGTCCTTTAGTGGAGACTGAAATATACAATTCCATACATTAACAAACCTGTACTACCCTCACATATTTCTATCTAAATCTTCAGATATTCATACAAGTGCTATTGCCTTTCTTTCTACAAAGGCAACTTTGCTTTCTATGATGTTGAATTTCTCTCTGCAAAGGTACAACAATATTATTCAGCTACTGAAAAGTCCAGGTTACTTTTATAAGCCAAAAAGCAAAAGGATACAATAAAATCGAATTTTAAAAGGACTCATAACATATACATATCAAGAATACAAAACTGATGCTCACCTACAGGCTCATGCCTACATTCTCTTCTGTTTTTCCCCAGGTTAACTTCAACCTTCCCTGCGTCTACCCTGTGCCAATCCCACCACTCAACACACAAAATACGATAGGGACAGGCTTTCCTTTCAATCATGGTTCTTTTTCTTGTGACACCTATATATTATTTGTCCAGAAGAACTTTGTCTTAAGCATTGAATCATATCTTTTTCAGTGATGTTCTCTTAACTATCACTTGAGGAGAATATCAAGGTTCATCCTGTCTCAATCACAGTTCTGACATTAAGCAGACTTAAACATCTCTCTGAATACAATATATAAAATGACATGTTAAATTTTAAATATTCTTCAGAAGTATTATTGACTTTACAAATTTTCATTAAAAAGATTTTAGGCTTAGATTCTTACAAATGGCTGATGTTGTTCTCTACTTAACTTTAAGGTAAAGTCCATAGTAAGCCATGAATTTTAATTATTTGAATTTTCCATGAGATTGTTTGTACATATTACAATAACATGATATATAAAAAATAAAATGTCTTCGAGAGTATATGTATAAAACATATTTTAAATAAAAGCAATTATTTATTAAAAATTTCTATTATTCTAATTTCTGATAATTCTATATACTGATATAACCATAAATATTAAATTTCTAGTGTTAACCTAAGAAAGAAAACATACTCAACTAACATTTAGAAGAAAAATTTGATTATATGTCATTTTGTTTTTAAATACTAATTTGAATTTCTTTTAAAAATAGTAGTAATCAAATGGAATTTGAAGTCTGTATATCTTATGTAATAAAATATGATCTTACCCTTTTCTTGGCCACCACAGCAACTTTGCCATCTGCTTTGGATTTATCTGTAAGATAATAAAGCATGACTGCTTCAAAAAAGGACCTATTCTCTTACTGAAATAAATGCAACATTGCACATTTACATTTTTCTTCTTTCTCACACTGTGATATTTTCAGTGGTTCTCTTATCAAAATGCTAGTAAGCTCAGCTTCCCAGAACAAAGTAATCTGGAAGTAATAACATCAGGGATTCATATACTTATTTGACAAACCTCCCTTAAATCTGATTGGCTGGTTGGACATCCTTGAGTTAGCATCTAGCATATTTGATTTCTAGGCTTTAGTCAGCATGTGTGCTCTGGAGCATACAGGATCTGGAACTCAATCCCAGTTAACTCTACTTGTACATCTAGCACATTTCAGACATGGGGAAAAGACTGTATAGACAGCATCTTATTTAATCTTCATGACAATCTTGGAGGGTATACAGTCCATCTCAGGTTCATAGCTGAGGAAGCTGAGGCTAAGATAAGTTAAACACCCTGCCTGAGATTGTGCTCTGGATCCAGACTCTTCTGACTACAAGTCTCTAAGCTTTATGTCTGCTGCCTCCAATTGAGACCCCTGAGCTGCTGACAGTGCTTCAGAAAAAGACTCAGTAAGAATGAGGAGTATAACTAAATATTATACAGAAAAATTTTCAAGTTATTATTTTGATATGTGCAAAAATATGTGGGTATTGTGTGTATGAGTTAAAATATTGCCATAGCTGGTAGATTTTTTAAAAATGTACAATCTGGAATTCCATAGCTGAATCAGTTATATGTAAATACTTATTCACAGTATTCTATATATCATGTTTTATACAACTTCATATTGTGGTAATGAAAAATGAAAAGAGCTATGGACATTAATAATGAAGTTTTAGGATTATATTTAACATTAGAGAAAAATAAACAGAAATTTAACTTACTAATATAAGACTAAAATTCATCATGAGTAATATGTACACACAAAAAAAGAATATCCATGAATTTAAGAATAAATAAAGGCTTGCTATCTAAAAGCAAATTTTGCAGTAAAAAAAAAGTTAATGGTATAAAACATAGAAATTCAGAGGAGCAGGTTATTATGTTTATACCTACAATTGGCTGGCTGCATATAAACAGCTCTCTTTCCTATGTTCAGCTGTTTACTTGAAATAATCCTTTCCTCTGCAGTACACTTTGCTCCCACTGATGAATGTACAAAAGACCATCCACCATCACAGATGATTCCTCCAATTAGGAGAAAATACCCACCTCTTTTGTAAACCCAGTCATCTTAGGCTGCAGAACTTTCTCCCTTGTATTATGGTTATTTCTATATATGTCTAAGTACTCTGCAAGATTAGACTCTGCCTTAAAGGCAGAGATCATATTCTATATGCAGTATGTACTTAATAATTTTAATAATAAGTGTACATGCATTTTGCTCAAATTCTTATATGTATCTGAAACATATTTAACATAATTTATTAATTAAAATACATAGAATATTTATGTGGTATAAGTTACTATACCAGACAGTGTAACATATAAAACACTGTATACCTCAAACCCTTAGTTTCTTTATTGATAAACTCAGAATAATAATTATTACCTCATTTGTATATTGTCAGATTTAAATAATATAATCTATGTAAATAAACTTTTAAAACCAAGTCAGGTAGATAACAGATAATCAACGATGTTCTCTTTCATTTTATCTAATTAAGACATTTTGAGGTATGTATGTGTTTGTGTCTGTGTGAGAGAGAGCAAAAGAGAGAAAAACAGTGAAAGAGAGAAAGAGGGAGTGAAGGAGATCTTAACCCCTGGAATATTAGGAAAAATAGTTAAGTGATGATATATTTCAGTACTGTATCATCTATTTAGGTGAGTCCATCATTCTTCCATTTAAATAATTATTTTGGTCTTTTTAATGTAATTGGGAATAATTGATGAGTAATGATAAAATAAAATATTTCAAGAAATAGGAAAAGATAAGATTACTGAAATTCTATAATGCATTTTAGAATTAAGGGCCCAATGGAACCTGACAGTAAAATAAAATAAATATGCCTTCATTTTACCTAAAAAATTTTTTCTTCTTGTTCTTTTGGAGACCTCTAGTAACAATAAAACTCATGATGAAATAGCAATCTGTACAAAGAGTTAAAAGTGCACAATAAAGAAACACAAAAAATAAAATTGGATCAATGGACCCATATTGTATTCTGAGAATTAATGAAAATATATTAGAAATTGGTTTTGTTTCTTTAAAATATATGATATTCTTATGTAAAATTTCAGGTCAGAAGATGAACTGGGAGCAGAAATATCCAAACCATTGTTCAAGGAGCTTCCTATGTTCAAAAATTACAGAACCATCTCCCAGTATCAACAACCACTCTGATTTTCACATGTCAAAGGGAGATTCTGGTATAATATTTATAATATTACAATCACTAGCAATTTCCCTATTAATAGTAGTAAGTCGTGTTTAACTTCAGCAACATTAACTTCACCCACTTTCTATGAGCTGAACTTACCCTAGTAAGAAAGCCTTAATTTTTTCCCTTCAGAAATCTCTGCATGTAGAGACCCTCACATACAGAGTGAAAAGCAGTTAACAGAAAATGTAGATTTGGATAATTAAAAGAGTCTTTAATCCTATTCTGAGCTCTATCTACACCACATTTTTTAAGTGCAAAAAAGGAGATACAGGTAGAAAATGAAAATGTTCCAAATGAGTAGAGATAGTTATGCCTCATGACCCATAATATATGTTAAAAATGTTTTATTTACAACCATATTATAGAGGAACACAAATATTAACATAAATCAGTGGCTTTACTCTTTTAAATAATTGATTTAAGGCTTGTCCATACATGGCCTCAGAAAAACTGTTGATATGTTCTTTAAATGTGACAGGTCACATCATTTTCTTAAAAAGGTAGAGAATAGTCCAGTTTCTTGTCTGGCATGTAAGGAGCTTAGAAGTCACCATTCCATTCTAATGTAAAATGCTGAATAAACTGAAAATCAGTAACTCTTCCCAGATCCCAGAGAAGTGAGGCCACACGGCAAACCACTGTCTCAAAATCAGGAGAGACAGGCAAGTGAAGATGAGGTAACACAACCTACCAGAGCAGAAACCTCCACAGGAACCCGTGCCAGTATAGGAAAACATTAACTGTAACTGATGAATTGCTGGAGCCTCAGTGTGAACATGCCTAAGAGATAGAAACTCTAAGGGGACTCAGTCGTGAGGGAGAGAGACACACAACTATGAGTTTATCTTTAGGAACTCTATTGGGTTCTCACAGTGAAGATTGGAGAAAAATCCCTCAGTGCTTCACTTAGTGGGAGGAAAAATTAACCATTCTGAAATATGCCAGAATATTCATTTCTCCTTAACAAGGCCTGGCATCCAGAGAAACTATTTTACCAGAGCCTAATATATAGGATTTATTCAGAGGATAACTAACCCAGGGGAAGGGAACTATCCAAATTCGGCCTGCTGTAGCTTTCCATAAGATGGAAGGGAAGTACCAGCTTCAGCCCCCATCAAGCCATTCTGTACCATCTAAGGGGGTGAAAAAAACAAAAGAAAAAAGAGAAGTACCTGTGCAGTTCAAAGCTCAAGAATGAGACTTAATCACAGGACTATTGCATGACTCCCCAGCCATATACATCTTACCACTACACTACACAAGGCCTATCTATTTACCACAGTTTCTTTTACCTGGTACATCATGTTAAAAAATTGTAAGGCATGCCAGAAGGCAAAATCAATTTAAAGTGACAAAACAAGCATTGGAAACAGACCCAGATATGACAGAGATATTGGAATTATCAGATGGTGAATTTAAAACAACTATGATTAATATAATGTTACAAGTAAACAACCTGCAAGAACATGTAAAGTAAGGAAAGAGATGGATATTCTAAAAATAATTTTAAAAAATGATAGAGATCAAAAGTACTGTAACAGAAATAAAGAATGCCTTTGATGGGCTCACCAATAAATTGGACACAGCTAAGGAAGTAATTGCTGAGCTTGAGGATATATCAAGAGAAACTTCTAAAACTGAAAAACAAAGAGAAAAAAACATTGAAAAGAAAAAACAGAACAGACTATACAGATCCATGGGACAACTACAAAAGTAAAGATGTGTAATGGGGAAGCCAGAAGTAAAAGAAAGAGAAAGGAACAGAAGAAATATTTGAAGCAACAATGAGAATTTCCCCCAAATTAATGTCAGACACCAAATCACATATCCAGGAAGCTCAGACAACACAAAACAAGACAAATGCCAACAAAAGTGACACCTACGCATATCATGTTTAAACTGCAGAATATCAAAGAAAACAAAAAATTCTTGAAAAAAGCCAGAGAGGCGAAATCACTTTACCTATAAAGGAACAAAGGTAAGAATTTCATCCAATTCTCCTTGCAAGAGGTGAGTGGAGTGAAATATTTAAAGTGTTGAGAGAAAAAAAAATCCACCATATTAGAATTCTGTACCTTGTGAAATTATCCTTCAAAAGTAAAGGAATATACACTTGGTCAAAGTAAAATTGAGAGAGAATTTGTTGCCTTGTAAGAAATGTTAAAAGAGAGAAGAAAAGTGATATAGGTCAGAAATTTGGATCTATATAAAGAAAGATAAAGAAAGGAAGAGAATCACAGAATTAGTAAGTACCTTCATTTTACTTATTCTTAATGTATCTAAATGGAAACAATTTGTTCAAAATAGTAAAAAAGAGCAATGTATCAATTATGTGTACTTATGTGTGTGTGTGTGTGTGTGTGTATGTGTGTGTATATTTATAAAACAGAAATCACTAAGCCTAGATGGGTTCGCTGGTGAATTCTACTGAACATTTAAGGAAGAAATTATACTACTTATAAACTATTGTAGAATTCATTCAATGAGGCTAGTATTTCTCCAAAACTTAAACCAAATAAAGTTATTACAAGAAAATTACCAATGCCTCTCATGAACACAGATGTAAAAATCCTTAACAATATAATTGCAGATATCCAACAATCTATTAAAAAGGATTATACACCACAACCAAGTGGGATTTATCCCAAGTATACAAGGCTGGTTGAACATTCAAATTCAATTAATGTAACCCAGGACATCAATCAACAGGATAATGAAGAAAAATTACATGATCATACCAATAGAGGCAGATAAAGGACTTGACAAATCCAAACTCATTCATGACAAAAAGTCTCAGCAAACTAGGAATAGAAGAAAACTCAACTTGCTAAGGCAATCTACAAAAAACTTCCAGCTAACATCATACTTACTGGTGGGAAACTTGAAGTTTTCCCTCTATAAAGAATAAGTCAAAGATCTTTCCACTTTACCACTCTTTTCAATATTGTACTGGAACTCCTAGGTAATGCAATAAGACAAGAAAAGGAAGTAAAAGGTATAGATTGAGAAAAAAGAAAAAAATACTGTTTTTGTTCACAAATGATATGTCATCTATGTAGAAAATCCAAAAATCAAGAAAAATACCCCTATAACAAATAAGTGATTACAGCAGGTTGCAGGATACAAAGTTAATACACAAAAGTCAATCACTTTCTTATTTACCAGCAATGAACAAGTAGAATTTGAAATTAAAACACATTATCATTACATAAGCATCCCCCAAAATGAAATACCTAGGCATAAATCTAACTAAATATGGACAAGGTCTATATGAAGAAAAGTAAAAAATTTGAACAAACAAAAAAACTAAATAAATGTGGGTATATTCCATGTTCATGGATAGGAAGACTTAATACTGTCAACATATCAGTTCTTCCCAAACTGATCTATAGATTAGATGCACTCTCAATCAAAATCCTAAGATGTTATTTTGTGGATATAATCAAGTTGATTCTAAAGTTTATATGTAGAGACAAAGACCCAGAATAGCCAATACAATACTGAAAAAGGACAAAGTCAGAGGATTGACCCTACTTGGCTACAAGATTTACTATAAAATATAGTAATTAAGACAGTATGATATTGGGAAAAAGATAAAAAATAGATCAATGGAAGAGAATAGAAAGTCTAGAAATAGACCCAATAAACATAGTTAACTGATCTTTGATAAAGGAACAGAGACAATACAATGGGGAAAAGACAGTGTTTTCAACAAATGGTGTTATAACAACTAGTTATCCACATGCGAAAAAATGAATCTAGTCACAGGCCTTACACTTTTCACAAAATTAACTCAAAATGGATCACACATCTAAATATAAAATGCAACAGTGTAAAAATCCTAGAAGGCAATACAGGAAAAAAATCTAGATAACTCCAAGTATGCTGATGACTTTTTAGATATAACACCAAAGGCAAGGTCCATGAAAGAAGTAATTAATAAGCTGGTCTTCATTTAAATAAAAACCTTCTGCTCTGCAAAGGACACTGTCAAGAGAATAAGAAAATAATCCACAGAGTAGGAGAAAATGTTTTCAAAATACAATCTGATAAAGGACTATTATCCAAAATACAAAAAGAATTCTTAAAACTCAACAATAAGAAAATGAACAACTGGATTAAAAAGTGGGCAATGAACAGGCACCTTTCTAAAGATTTACAGATTAAAAACATATGAAAAAATGTTCATCATATGTCATTAGAGAACTGCAAATTAAAGCAATGAGATACCCATATACACCTATAAGAATGGCCAAAATCCAAAAGACTGACATCAAAAGCTTGAGAGGATGTAGAGCAACAGGAATTGTCATTCATTGCTGGTAGGAATGCAAAATGGTACAGCCACTTTGAAAGTTTGGTAGTTTCTTGTAAAACTAAACATGCTCTTACCACATGATTCAGCAACTGCACTCTCATTTTTACCCAAAGGAGCTGAATATTTATGTGCCCACAAAAATCTATATGTGAATGTCTACAGTAGCTTCAGTCATAATTGTCAGAACTTGGAAATATCCAAGATGTCCTTTCACTAGGTGAGTGAAATAAACTGGTACAAACAACAGAATATTATTCAGTGCTAAAAAGGAAAGAGCTATAAAGACATTGGGAAACAAAAATATATATTACTAAGTCAAAGAAGCCAATCTGAAAAGGCTATGTACTGTATGGTTCCAACTATAAGACATTACGGAAAGAATAAAAAGATCAGTGGTTGCCAGGTGTTGGCAGAGGGGTGGAGGTAGGGGAGGAATGGGTAGGTGGAACATGGGATTGTTTAGACCAGTGAAACTATTCCATTTGATACCACAACAGTGAATACATGTTGAATACATGTGTCTAAACTCACAGAATGTAAAACATAAAGACTGAACATTAATGTAAAATATGGACTTTGAGTGACAATGATATATCAATGCTGGTTATAGATGGTAACAACTGTATCACTCAGTGTGGGATGTTGTGCCTGGGTGGCATATGGGACCTCTGTACTGTCTGCTTAATTTTGCTGTGAACCTAAAACTTCTCTAAAAAATAAAGTCTATTTTAAAAAAACAGATGATTCTGAGGAAAAAAAGACCATCCACTCTAAAATACAGAGCATGTAAGAAAATACTAATCTTATAAATAATATGAGATCCTAAGGGGGAATTACAAAGAGACTATATGGATAATACCCTATTCATTTAAAAAATAAAATTATAGCAAATGTTCCTATATTAAAAAAGCTGTCTAGATCCAGCAGAAAAATCACTTATTTGAAATAACAGTTCATACAACAAAAACAGGGCAACCACATCATGTGGATAGGACTTTGAAATTTGTTATAGTATGACCGAGTCTATATGTACATATTATTCACTGACTCTGCAGATTTCAATAGTGAAAAAGAGTTGAATCAAATAATAGATTGCCAATTTCTGCAGAGTAGGAAGAATCCAGGCCAAAAAATTAGTAGTAATTATTTATGGGCTGGAAGAAGAAATTTTCAGGTGAAGGAATCCTCAGAGTTTTTGGAATGAAATAAATGGCTTATCTCTATGCTTCTTAACTTTTACAAAATATCTGATTATCTCTCAAAACAACTCTGAACACAGTAAAAAGCTGAATATGTACTAGAATTCACCCTGGTAAGCTAAGCATGGAATAAATGACCTATTTTGGGAACAGTGAAGAGTGAGTGTGGAGTGAATGAGTCTGTTACAGCAAAGACTGAACTCCTGGAAGTCTGTTCATGTCCCTCTATTTGGTTACTTCAGGGACAAAATGGAAGTTTTTAGGCATATGGCTCTGTACAGTCAGACTGAATTACATAAAATTCTGTAGGCAAAAATCAACAGACTTTCATCAAGAAAATGATCTGCTGCTGCAAAACCACTTAGAGATAACCACTCTTCAGAGTCTCTGGACAAGCAAGATTGCCAAAGGACCCAGACATAAATAACCTGGTACACACAATAGCAGACAGTTCCATAATTTACTGAGATGATGGGTCTACTGCTAGTGTGAACTGGCTGTAACATAACTAAAAAGTAAATAACTATATAATTTCAAAGTATAAATGTTTAAAAACTAAATATCTCAAAGTTCATTTTGGTTACACAAGAGAAATGTATGGTTTGTGCAAAGCATTCAGTTGTATTTGTGACAACAGGGTGACTTCACCTTTATTACTAATAAACAGAGACTATATTTTCAGTACAAGGAACAAAATCACATTTTTGGTAGTAAATATCTCTTTTCCTGGTCTCAGAGTAAACAAAAGCAGTGTGCTTGTCATTTTCCCCCCACTCTTTTCAAACCTACTTATTTGTTTTAAAATCTAAACTTGGGTGGCTGGGTTAATATTTAAACTTTTTCTCAAATAAAATGTTTTTATGGATAAGTTTTTAAAAATATCTGTTAGACTTTTCCAAAGGAGAAAAAAATATCATTCATACTTTAAAATTCAGACAATACCAAAGTCCCTATCTTCCAATAGAGTAATCTGTTTTAGAACTTCAGGTGATTAAGTGAGAAGGGGCTTCATAAGATAAAAATTCATCAGTAAGCAGAAAAATGTTAAAACATATTTAAGTTTACTTAAAATTATCATTTCATGTTACAATCATATTCTATTTAGAGTTAAAAGTGTGTTATACCTACTATAATCCTTACGATAAATTCATTTAAAAAGCTATCGATAAACTGTAACATTTATGATTCGTTTCTTTGAAAAATGACCTGAAATAGTATATTTTCACCCAATTTTAAAAAGGTGAAAATTATATTTATCTCTGCTTTAAATTTATTTAAAAATGAACCATTTTGAAAAATACTTTGCTCTGAAATAACACAGCATATCCAAGTGAACGCTTCACCCAGGGAATATATTTTAAAGCCTTGGCTTCTGATTTTGAAATACATGCTTTGAAATACACAAGAGGACTTACATAGACAGTCTAAGAGCAAAGGAGATGAGAGAAGAGCTATTAAAACTACTGCACATAAATAGTGTATGTTTGGTTAATGAAAACAGTTTCAGAGAGCAAAATATACTATTAATCCATACAAAAATGATTTATCAGTGGACAAAGATATACTCTTTCCCTATAAAGAGAGAGAGAGGTTTTGAAATGTGTAAAAATATTTTGGAAAGCATGCATATGAATGAATTCTTATTTTGGGTGGTAAAGAATAAAAAACTCATATACCCTGGTTTGATAGGTAGCACATTTCCAGTCTTTGCTCATGAGAACATCCATGAAGGAGGAATGCTTCTCGTAGGGCACTTTTATGCCACTTCGTTTTATTCTTACATTTTCCTGGCTAAAGAAACAGAAAAATAGTAAGATTCATTTTTGCATATGTAGTTCTGTTTTAAAATTGACTTGATTTAGCTGTTGAGCTGGAACTAAATCTGATTTAAGCAGTGTACAATATATTATTTAGACTTTGGCATGTGATTATTATTTTAGAGTATAGCCAATTTGTGGAAATTCTGCATTTTAATCACCAAAAGAGTCAGATTCTTGATTCACTAATATCTTAAGATGATTAAAATATTAGTATTTAAGATGTTTGCACACTTATGAAGTTACAAAAAGTTACCATCAATGTAACAAAGTAATCAATATCAAATACATTTTATTAGAATAATGTTGATTCCATTTTAAGTAACATGGCAATGATCCTAAAGAAATTGAAAAACCAAGTTTCCTATTGTAAGACAATTAATTCCATTCATATCTAGTTTTGGTAGATGTTGACATATTCATACAAACACTTAATCTTTCTGTGCCCCAATTCATCTTTAAAATGTGAGTAACAGTACATATATCTTACAAGGTTTTATAAGTATTAAATGAAATGATGCATGACAGTTTTCTAGCACAGAAAGCACTCAATAAATGTTCTTCTTGAACACAGCACTTTTTGTAAATGTCTAATTTTCAAAATATTTTGAAAAGAACAACAGAATCAAGGAATATCTAGGTTAAAAATGACTATATAAATTATCTGGCTCAATAATTTTTCCAATGTTATTTTAGAACTTGCCCCAAATGGTTTTTATAATGTTTTAAATGTTAGTTTATAAAATGCATGCCACCATTTCCTTTTTGAAAACTCTATCACCAGGTGTTTTTTCTATTAATCCATATTTACCACTTACATATAATGATATCTTTACCTCAGATAGATAATTCATCCTTTACACAGATATGTAAATCTATATAACACCTATAATCAATTCTACATTGAAATTACACATTTAAGGCTCTTCTCAAATTCCACCTTATTCTTTAGTCCCCAAATTAATATCAACTATCAATTCCCATTACACTTAATATTTTCATTTAAACATTTACTACATTCTGACTTATATTATACTTATGAGTCTCCCCACCCATAAAATGAAAGGTCCCTGAAGACAGGGACAATAAATAATATTTCATCTCTGTGTCCTTCACAGTACCCATCTGTCTAATCTCATTGTGTTATATTTAGGTATTCAGAAAGTGTTTGTTAAATTGTATGTGGTTTTGTACACTGTTAAATTTGATATTAAAGCAGTGAAGCAATATAATCAATCAGAAATCTACTTTTGTACACAGAATAAATTTCATTCAAAAATCTATTTCCTAAAAAATGAAAATATAAACAGATCCAATTCAATAAAAATTAGAAAATTTAAACAATATCTAAGCATTTGCAGATTTAAGATGTTTTGCAGCTCAAATGTTATAATGATGCTAATTATAGATAGTGAAAAATTCCTAAAAGTTGATATAGCACCAATACTTGAAGTAAGAAATTTCTTGAGAAAAGCCAATGTGGTATTTAGCTAAAGTAAACTCTGGTGAGTTTGGGGAACTGAAAAGCTTTTTTTAAAAACCTGTATCTGTGAATCTTTAAGAATCTATCAGTAAGTTTGTGCCACCTAGTGGTAATAAAATTAAACATCTTCTAAAGAACTCAAAAAGTTAGGATACTTTTTTAAATAAAGCATTTTACCAGAATTAGATTCAGCTATGCATTGTATTTTTTAACTAGTTTGTTTTTAACTGAAAAAGTGACAGGTGCATAAAAGTATAGAACGTGCCTCCCTACACATCCCTGGTACTCAACTGTTTCTCCCAAAGGTACCCATTGTCATCAGTTCCTTTCAGTCTTCCAGAGATATTATATGCATCTACAAGCATTTACATCATTTATATAAGTATATCTATTTTTACAGAATACTAGGAAGAGTTATACACACTTTGAATTTTCAACTTGTCTTGCAGATTGCTTCACTTACTTATTGATTCAATAGCATATTCTAGATACTTAGGATCTATCGCTGAAGAAAATAGTACATTCTAGCCAGTGAAATAGCATACAATAAGCATAACAAATAAGTAAAGCCTACAGTATAAGAGGTTACAAGTGCTATGTTATAAAGGAAAGGTCAGGCAATAAAGTGGTCAGGGTAACTCTCATTGAAAAGGTGACATTTAAGGAAACACCTGAAGGAGGTCAGGGAGTTAGCTAAATAGGCAGGGAAAGAGCACTCCAGGCAGAGAAAAAAATGTTCCAAGGCGGGAGAATACAAGTGTATTCAAGAAGCATCAGAGAAGCCAAGGTAGCTGAGAAAGAAAGAGGGAAAGTAATGGGGAATGGTGACAGCAAGTTAACAGGAGCCAGATCACAGAGGTTCTTTCAGACCACTGTAGGGACTTTCTTAGGCTTTTCTTCTGAGTGAAATGAGAGACATTGCAGAGTTCTGATCAGAATAATAATACTTGATTTGATTTAATGTTTTGAAACAATCATTCTGGTTGTAAAGAAGACAACAGACTCTGCAGAGGCAAGTGAAGATGTAGGATGACTGACTATTGCAATAATCCAGGCAAGAAATGATGGTGGTAGACCAGGGTAGTAGCAGCCACTGCGGTGGAAAGTGGTAGGATTCTAGAATATAATCTGAAGGGAGCAAAAAGAATTTCTCGACCAACTAAAAATTGGTTGTGTGAGAAAATGACTCTAATGCTTTTGGACTTAGAAGGATGGAAGGAATTTGTTTATCTGTTGAGATGGGGAAGGCTGTCAAGGAAGTGAAATTTGTGGGGGAAGATCAAGAGGTCAGAAATGTTGCATCTGAGATGCCTATTTTGAAATTCAAGTGGAGATACTGAGTAGCAGATTGGTAAGGGAGTTCAGGAGAGAGAACTGAATGGCAGATAAAATTTAGGAATCATCCACAAGGACATAGGGTATTTAAAGCCAAGTAATAGGATGAGATATATGAGGAAATGAGGAAATAATGTATGTACATCCATATATGTGGTATGTAGGTACCATTATTTATTTGACAAATGTTCTAGTGATGATCATTTAGGCTGTTTCTAATATTATGCACTTGGAGACAATCCTGCAATTAAAAATCTTTGTCCATAAGTCATTTTTCCCATGTGAGAGTCTACTGTAGGATAAATTCCTAGATGTTGAATTATCAGGTTTAATGTATGTATATTTTAAATTTTGGAAGTTATTTTAAATCACTTCTGAATCAAGCAGTCACAATTTACAATGCCACAAACGACACGTTTCCTCATAGCCTGGAGAACACTTTTGTTACCAGACTTACAGATCTCTGCCAATATTTTTAAAGGAGAAGTGGTATGTCCTTTCATTATCATTTTCATTTTTTAAATTTAGTAATTATGAGTTTTTTATATTTTTACAGCTTTATTGACATACAGCTGACATATAACATTGTGTAAATTTAAGATGTACAAATAATGATTTCATGTACACATATACTGGGAAATCATTACTACAATAGGGTAAGTGAACACCTCTATCAACTCACATAATAACTTTTGTGTGTGTGTGTGTGTGTGTGGTAAGGACATTTAAGATCTATTCTCCCAGTAACTTTTAAGTACGTAACTGCTAATATACACACTGTGAATATAGTTACATCCCTAGAACTTACTCATTAATTTTCATACTTTTAAAAGCTATTACTTTCTTATCTGTGGAATAATTGTTCAAGTCCTATGTTAATATTTATACTGGTCTTTTTTCTTATTGCTTTGTAAGAGATTTTTAAATATTAAAAAAGTAGTTTTCTACATATGTTGCAAATATCTTTTAGTATACTTATTTTTCCTTTTTTGTTCATTTAAATCTTTTCATCTTTCTAAAACTACTTTGGATGTAAGATGTGAGATATAGCCTCCACTTCATTTTTTTTCTTGGTAGCTAGAGCCATTTGTACCCATACAACTTATTAAACAATACAACTTTAATTATTTGACTATGACATTAATTACTATATTTCTAAGACTTTTGAGTCGATTTTTGTTCTATTAATCTGTCAAGTCACTGTTAGTACCAAACTGCTTTAACAACTAGAACTTTATTATTATTTATATTTTATAGCCCTAATTCCCTATCTACGTTTAATTTTCCTACAGATTTTAGAATTTTTTTCAGTCCTTTTAAAAAATTGAGACTGCATTAAAATTAGTTTAAGGAGATTTGACATCTTTCCATATTAAATCTTCCTAATCAAGAAGAGAATTATATCTCTTAGTAGTATTTTAAAGTTTTATTCATAGATCTTATACATGCTTCTTATGCTTGTTCCAGGGTATTATATATGCTTTTTGCTATTACAAATGGGAACTTCTATCCCTTCATATTTTCATATTGGTTATATCTGTACACTAATTTTTTAAATTAAAGTATCACTGATATACACTCTAATGAAGGTTTCACAAGAAAAACAATGTGGTTACTACATTGACCCATATAATCGAGTCCCCCCCATGCCCCATTGCAGTCACTGTCCATTAGTGTAGTAAGATGCCACAAAATCACTACTTGTCTTCTCTGTGCTACACTGTCTTCCCTGTGATCTCCCCCACACCATGTAAACTGATCATAATACCCCTCAATATCCTTCTCCCTCCAACCTCATACACCCTTACCCTTTGATAACCACTAGTCCCTTGTTGGAGTCTATGAGTCTGCTGCCATTTTGTTCCTTCAGTTTTGCTTCATTGTTATACTCCACAAAAGAGGGAAATCATTTGTCACTTGTCTTTCTCCACCTGGCTTATTTCACTGAGCATAATGTCCTCCAGCTCCATCCATGTTGTTGCAAATAGTAGGATTTGTTTCTTTCTATGGCTGAATAACATTCCATTGTATATATGTACCACATCTTCTTTAGCCACTAATCTACAGGTGGACACTTAGGTTCTTTCCATATCTTGGTTATTGTAAATACTGCTGCGATAAACATAGGGGTGCATGTTTTTTAAGTCTGAGAAGTT